CCCCAAAACCCCAAAACCCCAAAACCCCGTATGATTTAATTCATCTTTTATAAAATAATTCAAAATCATAATTAAAAATATTGAATTTCAGTATCGACTATAATTTAAATCAAATTTCAAGTTCTTCTTTGTCAAGATCATCCTCCGTTTCTTGAGGAAGTCTATCTCGATCATTAAAAACATCTTCTGTAAAATTATTTTCATAATCTAATTCATCTGAATCTTCATCATCACTATCAGCATTTTGATTTTGCTATGCTTTTAACTGCTGCATGACATTTCTAAATGTATACTTATCAGTTTAATCATAATCATTTTTCATCTGAGTTTATGGCATCTATTAGCCGTTAAGCAAAGCTTATATTGTGCTCTCAAGTTTACTAGGGGATGGGTCAGGGAAAAAAGTATTAATGTTCTAACTTGCGATGAGATTCTTTGTGCTATCTTATTGAAGCGTAAGATTTTCATTAAATTCTCTTTTATCTATCTATGAATAACTTTCATCTTCGATGTCATTTAATTACATAGATTATTGTATATCTTAAGCTTATGTAATTCTGTCATTTTCGAATAGTGAATTCAATTTACTATGACCTCTATTTATTGGTGAAAGGGTGATGGGCATCATTCTACCTTATCTTTTGAAGAAATTGTAGATTGATTTGATTACATTATTATCTCTTATTTATGATTTTTATGGTGTAAGATCCTCTTGAATAAAATTATTTGTTAGAGATCGACTCATTGACTTTTGTGGACTGTCTTGATCGAATGTTTAGCCTAAGTAGTTACTATCAAATGAATTTTTATCTTCTAAATCCTTGTAATTTTTAAGATTTTTGTAAACTTTGCTGATAAATGCTCCCTCTTTGTAGTCAAAATCTTGTTCATTCAAATAATAAATCTCTGCCCTTTTAACTGCTTTCTTCCTTTGAAAAAGCTTTATCTTTTATCTTAGTTTTTTAAATGAATTTTTAATCTTATAAATTGTCTTTATCATCATTATTATAGTGTTCACAGCTACATTGAGGACTGTAATAGCTAAAAGAGTGTAGCCAAATATGCTTTATTTTTCTATATCAGGCACATAATTTGTAAAGATCATTAGATGATACGAGCTCATTAATATGCAAGTCTCATTAAAGATTTCAATGTAGTTGAATTCTGGATCTTAAAATGGCTTAATATATATCACATAAACCAATAGGATGAGACTTTGCAAGAACATTACTTGAATCTAAAAGGTAGCATTATCTCTCCCGTTAAAAATGACCAAGGTTATGGCAAATAAAAATCTTCTGCTCAAGAAAAAAACGTTATATAGAAGTGCTGCTCTCTGATCTACTTTTAAACCATCATAGAGAGAACCTATTTTTTGCAAGCAAGCTGGCTGTGTTAGTTTGGATTAGAGAACGAATAGCACAATTAACACTAATAGTGGGAAAATAAAAGTAGCACTGAGCAGAGCAATAGCAAATAAAGATGCAAATCTATCTGAATTGGAATTCCATGATAACTATTTAAAGTTATTTTAATATTCTTACTGCCGTCATATTAATCATTGAATCTATTGCAAAAGCTAGATACCCCTCCATCATAAATCTCAAGATCAAATTAAAGAATATTATTTTCGAGACAAAATCATAAACAATCTTTACTCTATTTTAAAAATCTTATAATCATCCAATCATCTTACAATCTGTACTTTCTAGATAAATATTTAACTAAAATAAGTCCAATAATTGTGCAGCCAATTCCAACCATGTAATAAAATAAACTACCTAAGTTTGCTATACTAACTTTACTACTATAGCTTAAATAAGTTAAGGGGACTTTATTGATTGCATGAATGTTTTTTCAAAAGATATCAAGTTCATTAAAATCATCATTCATTGCTTAATCATCCTTGAATTCAAATACTTGCTATTGCATTGTTTAAGAAGGTAATAAATCAAATTTTGTTATTGAAATAATCATTGAGTAGATAGTTTTTGCGTTTGTAGGGAAATCAACAGAAAACAAAGGCATATGCACTATAATTTGCAATACATTAATCATTCCCCATAGATATTGCAATGATGCAGACCTAATATCAAGTTAAAATTTGATAATCTTACAAAACAATGCTAATACCCATATTACCCATCATTAAGCCTTACAAAGAGCTTGAAGCAGAGCCTCCAAGTGCTCCTAACAGTGCAGCATCTAAAATTTTACATAACTTTAAGATATACATACCTCCTGGATCTAATTATTTTGGAAGATTTTTTGTTAAAATAGCTGGAAGTTTTAGTGCTCTGCCAGTGCTTTATTGTATAAAATACCCATTTAATAAGAATGTCACTCTAATTTGATCCCTTATCTCCTAGATTGAGACCATTTTTGGAGTAAAAAATTTTAGATTTATAACTAATTTAGTCTCTGTAATTGAACTTACAGTCCAATTAAAGTTTAGATCAGATACTTTTGAATACTCACTGGGAATCGTATATACTTTGACAACATTTGAAAAGAATTTAGATTTGTAGACTTCTGTTAAGTTTAAGCCTGTTGAATTAAAATCAGGAGTTCTAATAGGGTCAAGAAATTGGAGGGTTAGAATTCCAGTATTTGTTATAGAATAGATCTTGACTCCAAATTTAGAGTAAAGTAAGTCACTCTGCTTTTTCTTGTCCTTTTAGTCTTAAGTCGCATTCAATGGTAATACTTCATCTATAACTACTCCTTTGAAAGTGGAATTACTAGTACTACTTGAACTATTATTACTGGATGCAGTTTCTTCCTTGCCTTTAATGATAACATTAAAAGTGTAAGTTGAAGTCATTGGAACAGGATTGTCATCTTTTATTGTAATAGTTACTGGATATGTACCATCTTTCTCTGTTGCTGGTGGAGATATGGTTACAACCATTGATGCGAATTTTATGAAACTAGATGCCTAGCCAACGTTTGCAGTAGCGGTATATCCATCTAAGTCTGCATCAGTTACCGATCCTAGTGAATACTTGAGAGATAAACCAGCTGTTACAGTTTAATCTTTAGGTGTTGCTATTGAGGGTGGGTTTTTATTTTCTGGCAAAATAGTTAGCTAAAAACTTGTAGAATCTGAATAGGTTTTTAAGGTATTGCTACTATAAAATGAACCTAAAACTTTAATCAAATAAATCCCCTTAAGGGTGTTTGTAGTAGCTCCAAAACTAAATGTTTACCCTGTGAATGTAATCCACGATGCTAATGTAGCACCTGAAACCATAGTAGTCGCATAAGTGATTTACCCAATAGGTAAGCAATATTACTATGCAAAATTAGGAAAAGAGTAAGTTAGAACTGGTTAAATATTTACTGTATATTTCTGATTTATCAAAGTGCTATGAGTAATTGTGCAATTTCTTTGAAGGACTATATTGAAAGTTTATGACTAATAATAGGGCTAAGTTCCTGTTTAACCTGATATTTTGATTTCATGAGTTCCTAGATGATCTACACTATTTGTAAATAAAGTGAAAGTTCTAGTATTTGAAGTATATCTGATAACTGAATTAGTTGCTGGTATCACAGTTGAGTTAGCATTATAAGTTACTGTATAAATGAACACCCCACAATCTGTTTCATATAAAGAAGTCCAAGCTGTGAATTAAAAGGTCATTGCGTTGGACCCCCAATCGTAATAATAGTATGCATTTAGAGTAGCTAGAGTTGCAGTATTCAATTTGCATTTGTTGAATGTGATTTTAACAGTCGCTATGTCAAATTAACTCTAGGTATTGTACTTGTGATATGCTTTTATATAAATTGTTATGCTTGTCCCGTGAAGTGTAGTATCACTTGATGAGTAGCTCAATACTCCAGCTTAAGTTAACAGGAACACAGAAGCACTAGGAGCAGCAGTTAGTGCTGCATTTGTATACATTTCATATACCCTTGTGCAAGTTGATCTTGTGGAGGTGAAGTAGCTAGAAAAATTAATTGTTTAGGCAGCATCCCCCAGATAATACAAAACATCCGCATGATTTCCTCCGCTATTAGTCAAGCTTACCGATATACAAGGATTTGTCACAACAATATTAAACGTAGTTGAAGCAGTTTCACTATTTTGATTCAAGGTACCTGTCAATTGAAAAGAATATGTACCAGCGTGAGATTCAGTAGTACTCGATGCTTTAAATCTAAGAGGTGTGTTTGAATCATAAGAAAATGGATTAGAGCTTTATGATGTACCATCAAACGTGGACGTAAAGCTATAAGTCCAAGTAGAATCAGTGCAAGCTAAATCTGTAGTGAATTGAGTGAATGGAAAATATTTATTTCCACTGAATATCTCATAAGTGCCATCACTTACAGCAACAGATTGAGGGACAGGCTATGTGGAACTGCACCATGATTAATAGATGAGAGTTGTACTCAGTAATTTGCCAGTGGAGATCAAACCAAGAATATTGTCTGAGTAATAAATAGTTATTTTGGTTTTATCATTATTGAAAGTATCAGGGCATGCATCAGCTGATAATTATACTGATGATACTGTCACTTCTGTATTTGTTGATTCATCTCTATTGAGGCAACTTTATGATATGTCAGTAGTCATAAGTGCTCCTGAAAGAAATTTTAGAGAGCTGTCTTTGCTTTAATCTTATGATTATGGAAGCTTTTATACTTATGCAATATAATATTAGTAGGATCCTTTAAGGTATCCATATATCAATGTGTTTTGTCTTCTCGAAAAATTTGATAACTCATGCTTAGTCAATTTTCCAGAGCTTGCTGATACGAATTCCAAAGTAGCAAGTAAGAATATCTTATCAGTAGATAAGTAGATAAACATATAAATCTAAAAAGGTTTAAGATATTCAGAATAAAAAATTTTTAGTTAAACTTACTAGTGTATTAGATGATGAATCTGGATGTAAACTTTTACAAGATGGACTGTCACTAAAGTCATGCTAATAGAGATATTCAGTGCTGACTGTACCTGCATCGTCAACAATCAAATAGTGAAAATAGAGTATTTTATTTGCATTATATCCAACTCTATATACATGGTTAGTGGTGCCATCATTTTTATATATCATTTTCTGAGACTGTATATTGGATGAGTGAAATGCTAAGTTTATCACATTAGAAAAGTCTGATATTTTGAAAGACCATAATGTCCAATAGTTTTAGCTTCCACTTCTAACTTATCCACTTAGGAGTAGTTATAAATTATTTCCAAACAGGTACATTGAGTCAAATTGATTATTAGAAGCTGAATTTGCAGCTGATTACTAATAAAAATCTACCTTTAGATCAGATGTTGTCAATTAAAATCCCATTATTTAAGTGTATCCTGAATCAGTTTTCATTGCAAGATATATTCGATCCCCATTAATAACAAAGCAGTCATTTGATATTGAAACTTTTAGAGGAGCCAAAATAGATGTACCATACTTGGCAATAATAGAACCATCTAAAGTAGAAATAAGATATATTTTAAACTCGTAGGAGGTTGTTGCCATAATTCCTACAATTTAAGTCTCATCAGTTTATCTAAATTTTGCAGTCGAGAATTCCCCAGCAAAGGTAACCTAATACCTCATGAAAAATGTGTAAGAACCTGCTTTATCCAGAATCACAATAATGGGTAGAGTAGTAGATGTTCCCGTCAAATCAGAACTCTTAGTCCATCCAGACATTAGTACATTATCATTTGAATCCATATCAATTGAGACATACTTTGTTTAATCCTTGATCCCTCCCAAAACTATGGGATAATTTCCAGTTGAATCCCCAAAGCAAGATAAATTATCGACTTTTTCAAATATTAGCAACCTAAATGAAATGAGTTTTTCTTATTCAATATTTTTACAAAATTAGGAGAACTGCCGCTTAATGAACCTTTCTTTTCAACAAGAAATTGTAGACTTGATTTCTCATTAAATAGAGTTTACTTTGATAATATATATTATTACAATGGATTTTAAATCATTTGCATTGCAATAAGGCTTATTTTATTAATTTCATGGCTTTAATATTATAATAGTCTTTGCATTTGGTAAAAATAAAGTTTGAAGGGGGTTTTGGGGTTTTGGGG